GGGGGGGGGGAAGGGGGACAGTGAGAGAGCTTCTAAAGTACTGTGTTCAGTTTTGGGCACCACAATTTAAGAAGGATATAGAGAAGCTGGAACATGTCCAGAGGAAGGCAACGAAGATGGTGAGGGGTCTAGAGACCAAGTCCTATGAGGAAAGGTTGAAGGAGCTGGGTATGTTTAGCCTGGAGAGATAACTCAGAGGTGATATGATAGCCATCATCAAGTACTGGAAGGGCTGTCATGTAGAGGATGGTGTGGAGTTGTTTTCTGTTGTCCCAGAAGGTTGGACCAGAACCAACAGGTTGAAATTAACATTAGGAAGAACTTCATGACAGTTACAGCAGTTCCTCAGCAGAACAGGCTTCCTTGGGAGGTGGTGGGCTCTCCTTTGGAGGTTTTTAAGCAGAGACTAGATAGCCATCTGATAGCAATGCTGATTCTGTGATCATGAGAGGGTGGGCAGGAAGGGTTGCAACAGAGCTTAGTTCTTGTGGCCCCATTCTTACATGTCCAGGGAAATGCTGATCGCCACTTTGGGGTCAGGAAGCAATTTTTCTCCAGGCCAGTTTGGCCAGGGATCCTGGAGGCTTTTTGTCTGGGGGTCACTGGGGGCATAGGGGGGAGGCATTTGTTAATTTCCTGCATTGTGCAGGGGGTTGGACTAGATGACCCTAGAGATCCCTTCCAACTCTATGATTCTATGTTTCCACTGGAGTGATATCTAGTTTCTACAGCTTTATAATTTAACACTCACCTTGGTCTATGATAATAACCACCTTCAGGCAAGTACTCACTGTATCAGCTACAACAAAAAATAGGGATATCGCATATATGCAGTCTCTATAGCTGTACTCATTCTCCTGTGTAACCTCGAAGAACTATTTCCTACCACATTTCTAGGATAGGGATTGATACTCAAAGCCTCCCCTGCTGTGTTAAACAATGCAATTCCATCCACACTGCTGGTGCAGCCACCTGAGAGACACACTCAAGGGAAGGAAGAACACCATAGCTAAACGAATGGTGGCATGCCATATCCCCACAAAGCAAAGTTACTCACTTAATTCTGCTTTGTCAATTTAAAATTTTAGAAAATAGATGTAATATATTTATTGAGTATTTTAACCCACCTTTCTCTGAAACCAAACTCAAAGTGCATACAATAATAGAGCCATCAAAACTAGCAAACAGATCTAGCTATCCCTTTAAAAATAAGTAGTGTTAAAATGCCTCCCGAATAATTCTGCCCTGCACAACTTACAGAAACTCAGCAATATGGAAGCCTTTCTAACAGTTTCAGGAGCAGACACTGAAAATTAGTAATGAAATATAACCAGACATTCATGTTCAAGAAATCTTAACAAAATCCAACTTTATTGTCAAATTGTAAGACAAGACTTTCCTTCAAGAGCACAATACCTGATTAGAACTAGCTTTCTCAAGTCTGTCTATCATAATTTCAAACTGAAGTGGTTTGATTTCCATCTTCCGATTGAGCCTATTTAATAATGTCTCATCTTCTGAGTCCATATCATAATCAGGTTGCTCATTATCCAAATTGAAGGCTAAAACAAAAAAGAGAAAACATTAAAGCTAGAACGTACACATTTATACTAAGAATCAGCAAAGAATCAGCTAAAAGGAAACAAAACGTCAACTGGTTCAATTGTCTGCCATCCCAAGAGACAGGATTTGTATCTGTATCACATGGTGGAGCCAGGCAGTCATGAGGTTGCTCACTTAGCTCTAGCCAGCATCCTGCATGACCACCTAAATATCTGAGCTGCACATATAAACTCCTCTACAAGTTCACTAAGGATCCAAACTACATGGTATCTTTCCTAAATAACTAATGGGGTAAATTAAGCAAGATGCAGCATTTACTACTATGGTTATACTTAAGAATCCATTAGATTTAGCCCAAATCAAATATAATTTAAAACTAAAAAAATCCTACCACTACAGAACACTGAACTACATATCTGAAAAGGGATGTGCTGTAAAAGCTCATAAGGGCTGTGTAAACATGGAATAGACTGTGAAAGAGTTAATGCTGCACAGAGCCAGAGATCCTTGGGTGACAGGCTGCTCAAGGGGATTTGATTGATTAGTGTCAGTTGAACAAGAAACACTTGGGAAGTGACTGCTGAAGAGAACTCAGTTTAGCTCTGACACAGAACTGGAGCAGCTTAGCTCTGACTGAGGAGAGTTTAGCACTGTCTGAGAAAAGTTTAACACTGACTGAGGACTGGGAAGGTTGGCAAGGAGGAGTGGGAGGATTGGTGCAGACCCCATTTAAGCCAGAAAAAGGGATAGATCTCCTAGTTAGAGAAGTTATTACCTTCCCAGTTGATACGGGAGACAGCTCAAAGATTGGAGTCATCCCTGGTGTGTGTAGAGAAGGAATTTGGGTACTTGGTTGTGTATCCCTGCCTTCTGAAGACTGACAAATCAGTTAAACTCAACAAAGTGAACTGGAGTGTTTAGGTAATACTGAAACCAAAACCTCTCACCCCTAAGATTCTAAGACTTTGTGAAAAGCTTGAGAACTCTCACTTGCTGGAAACACATGAACTGGAGTTTGCAATGATAACAAATTACCTCAGAGTTATACTTGATTCACCTCAGACATTTTACTCCTGATTTCACCTGACATTCCCCCCTCTACATTTAATAAAATATTTTATTTTTGAACTTCAAAAAGGCTTGTGTGCCATTTTCAGAAGTTTAAGTTAAAGAGGTGATCTTGTCTCTTCACGCAAGTTCCTGCACTGAGCCAGCAGCAAAATACAACTAAGTGACAGGGTGGGACAGCCATGGATCTACAGAAAAGAAGAAAATAATAAAGGGGCTGCTTAGCCAGAAAGGAAGGGGAAAACTGAGAGAAAATCCTGCATCTGAGTGAGGGAACAGGTCTAGGTCACCAAAGCAGCATTCAAGACCATTCCAATTCTATGATAATGTAGGCAAAATATACTTTTCTTAGTTCTTGGTACAAACACCTGTATACCTTCTAGATATGTAAAGGCCTGGAAGAAAAATCCAGAGAAATGCAGGAAAAAAATGTTCCCCCAAAAAAACTTTCCCCCCAGTTTTTCAGATGGACAGATGCAATTAATAAACTACCAAAAAAAAAAAAAGTCCAGACAGCCATAAATATTTGGGGGTCCACTTTTTTGTCCATCAGTAATAAGAAATTATATTGTTTCTATTCTACAAACTCAGCTACAGCTACAATGCAAATACAGAATTCTTCTCAAATGTGCTTCGTCCAAGGTAAATAAAAACTTCTTTACTCTCTTAAACCTAAAACTAATGTAGTGCATCTTTTCTCAGAATCCACTCAGCAACTTTGATAGTTATGGAAAAGAGAAAGAAAAACCAATTAACTTACGTTGGATATGAATGAACTGTTTTGGTTGTTTAAATTCTCCTTTGTATAGGCGACTGTAATAGTTGACATTGCTTTCTGCTTCAGGAACTGGAATAACCATGTTCTCTTTCTTTTCTCTAAAGACTTGCTGTGCTGAGATAGCTCGTTGCAAATGGTGTTCCTAAAAAGAGGAAAGTAATAGTTCAGCTATCACTATTACATGACCAACAACCACTAGCACTTTTTTCCTAGCAATAATATCCACCATTATCATATTGAAAATAGTTGTTAAATCATTTCAAGGCTACAGGATACTTCATCCGGCCAAAGAAAAAACTGCTTCAATTTAAACAATAAAAATCTCCTGGTTGCCAATGTACAATAAATACCCTCAGGGAACAGGCAGATAAACTTTATAGAATGTTCTTTTTTCTTTGAAGCCACAGATGATTACAATAAACAGGTGCGGGCACGCAGGCTTGTAAACATGTTTGTGGGTTAATTACTTTTGTAGGTTTTTTTAAATGGCAGATGTAGTGAAAAAATATTTGGCAAAGAAGAAAAAAGAAAAGAAAAAAGATATTTTTGTAAAGTTCTTCCTAAAATATGGAAGATATAGAGAGGGTACAGACCTATATTTATTTCTGCAGAAAACTAGCAAAAGACACCCTAACAGTTAATAGCCATTTATGATACCGAATACTGACTTCTGCAAGTTTTTTAATCCAATTATTAATTTTTAATAACACTTGACGGTCCTGATTCAGTCCTACAGCAAAAATAATACTCCAAAATTTATTTTAACACAGATACATGTTAGTTATCTCATCTTACTTGAACTTTTACAGAATTACACCTATAGCCAAATAACCACTTTCTAACTCACTCAGGCAACCGTAAATATTTTGAATGTTCATGGAGCCAAATGTATCATACAGGCTTTTAAATCTTCTATACATGTTAACTCCTTCTACTGTACTGCGTAGGCCATCATGCTATACCAATATGCATACGTTTTGTTGCATGCACACACAAGCACAGAATTTAAAGGCACACTTTCCTGCTCCTAAGAGATACACTAGTAGGAAATTAATCTTCTAGGAACAATTCTTAGAATACAACAAGAGTCACAAAGTGATTTAATTCCTATGTTTTTTTAGTGGTGTGCACTGAATTTGCCACCAGGAAGCAAAATCAGAAATTAAGCCACAAGAGCCCTGAAGAACACATACTCGCTATATTAGCCTCCAGAATCAAGGGTGAAAGTGCCATTAGGGGCCGTGTATCAACAAACTGGAAGAAGAGCCACTGAAGTTGGAGGAAGGCTACACAGCTGATCCAAAAGGAAAGGTGAGAGTATAAACAAAACAAACTTTATTCAGTCGAGCGGTAGGATCAACCCTATTGTTTAAATTATTCCTATACTGCCTCTCTTATCTATATCTGTTCCATATGTCTCCAAAACTTTGGTGAAGACAAAAATAAAGGTTTTATTTATATAAACTTATGTTGCTTCAATATCAAAGGAAGCATCTAGCACTCCATTAGTCAGGACTCACTGGAAAAGACGACAATGCTATGAAAAACTGAAGGGAGCAGGAAAAGAGGAAGACCTAACATGAGGGGGACTGACTCAATAAAGGAAGCCATGTGGCCCTCATTTTGCAAGATCTGAGCAAGGCTGTTAACAATGGGATATTTTGGAGGTCATTAATTCATACGGTTGCCATAAGTTGGAAGCAATTTGCCAGCCCTTAACACATGCACAAACACCCCAAATGGATTTTACTCTTCATGTTCAAACATCTTTGAAAATGGGGTGCACCTTGGGAAAAAAATTAAATTCAACTATCAATTGATGAAAAGCCTCAAAGAACAGATTGTTTCTCTACCCACTACTCAGTCAGCTGCAGGTAAGATTACCACTAATATACAATCAGTATGCAGATTTTGCACAGATGAATGGATGCACAACTGATCCTCACAATCAACACTGAGCCAACAACGGCTATTGGGCTTTTGGGAGAACAATCTTGGGACTGAGTTTTCCTCACATCACATCATGGACATTTAAATAGGTACATCAGAACTTTTCATATACTGATATCAAATGTCACTGACAACTACCATGACGATAAAGTTAACTGAACTGGGTAAGCTTGCGCTACCTCTGAAGTAAGACATCTTGGGCAACATCCACTGCGTGAGCATAAAGCTTTTAAAGAATGATGAACCAATGAGAAACGGCAATAAAAAATTCTGTTTCTATTTTGAAGAGATTTTGCATACATGTATTCACTCAAAGATAGACTGCTTGCTGCTGCAAAATGGTTGAGGCATGCAAACTATAGCCTTACTGTACATCATTCTTTCATATGATGCACACAAAAAATTCCCATATCCCAACAGGAATATTTAATCAAATAAAGAGATGACATGATTCTCAAATTTATATTAGGTAGATATACTAGAAAGATATACAGGCAATAAACTCGAACTGCTTGGCCACCCCCAATGCTGCTTAATAACATAATTTACCATGAAGTGCTAAGGCTAATTAGGATTAGGGCAACTAACCTTGATTGGGCTAGTACATTATCTTGTGCAAGGTGTATATGTTCCACTCTTGTATAAGGGATTCCCCAGTCCCAATGATTCTACATATATGAAATTTCTCACAGTCCCTAGTCACAGACATGCTTTCATACTTACTAGATTAAACACCTTTACAACTGCAGAGCTAATGGGACGTTTTGTGAAAATTCCATAATCAGATTGGTTATATGACTGTGCATCTGGTGCATTAGACTCACTGGATCACCTCTTATTGCTCTGTTCCCAATAGTGAGTCCCCAAGTTCCTCTGGATTAGTCCGATCTTGCTTAAACATCATCTTCCTATAGAACCTTGGGTGACATCTCAACTATTGTCAGACACTGATCCTGAAATAATTTGTTCTTGTCACAAAATATCTGCCAATAGTAACCTCTCTGAAATTGTGGAGAAATGTCTCTAAATTAACTGGGGAAAAAATGATGGTTTTACAATATGAGTTACTAGAATTTTAGATTACAATCATGATTCTGAAGATCTTAACAGAAGGTTTACCCTATCATTCAGGGTCTAACTCTTACCCAGTGTATTTATTATATTAAGGAATTTTAATCTTATCCAAAAAATTTACCATTATATAGTTTTTATATTATGGATTATTCAAATTTCATGATTTGATTAATGGATTTATTCTAATTCTCCTATTTATTCTCAACTGATGCTATTATTTTTACTAAAATGATAAAAGGGTTGGAACACTTTCCCTATGAGGAAAGGTTAAAACGCTTGGGGCTCTTTAGCTTGGAGAAACAATGGCTGAGGGGTGACATTATCGAGGTTCATAAGATTATGCATGGGATAGAGCAGGTAGAGAAAGAAGTACTTTTCTCCCTTTCTCACAATACAAGAACACGTGGGCACTCCATGAAATTGCTGAGCGGTCAGGTTAGAACAGATAAAAGGAAGTACTTCTTCACCCAAAGAGTGATTAACACATGGAATTCACTGCCACAGGAGGTGACGGTGGCTACAAGCAGGGACAGCTTCAAGAGGGAATTAGATAAGTATATGGAGCAGAAGTCCATCAGTGGCTATTAGTCATAAGGTATATATAGGAACTCTCACGCTGGGGCAAGTGATGCTCTGTCTTCTTGGTGCTTGGGGGGGCAACAGTGGGAGGGCTTCGAGTGTCTTGGCCCCACTGCTGGACCTTCTGATGGAACCTGGTATTTTTGGCCACTGTGTGACAGAACTAGATAGGCCATTGTGTGACAGAACTAGTTGGACTAGATGGGCCATTGGCCTGATCCAACATTGGCTTCTCTTATGTTCTTATTTCAGTTCAGTTTAAGCTCTTCTGGTCAAACGAGCTAAATAAAATTGAGTAAGAAAATATCATGCCCAATGAAACACTATAATTTCACTGAAATAAAAAGAGGTAAAACTGTAACTCTTTCCATATTTCTGTAACAGACACCTGTTGTCACGGAAATCATTAATACCATCCTCCCCAAAAAACTCAAAACCAGAAATCTATAAAACTAAAAGGAGCTAAATAAAAGATGGGAAAGAAATATCACTGACTTTATTTCAAACAAATATGAAGGAGCTTTTCAACCTCAAGGAACAGTGAAATATCATTTTTTAAATCTAAATTTCGAATAATACTTTCACATACAACTTCTCAGTACAGAAAAACTGCATCTCTCTTATATATAAAGCTTATTTTGTGTGGATTCGCCTGACCGTTCCACACGCCTCCTTAGCCTTTCGGTCTGTGACCTGTCGCTCAGCACGGGGGCCAATCCCATGCCTAGATTGCCTCCCTCCGTCGCCTTTGCCCGCCCACAGACCCGCCAGGCGGCCTATAACCCGCAGTCTGTGCTGGGCCGCCGGCCAGGACCCGACTTGTCTCCCCCACCAGCTTCTGCAGCCGTTTGGCACCCTCCCAGAGGGCCTCGACCACGCCGACCTGTCTCCCCCGCCACCTTCTGCGGCTGCTCGCCGCCCTCCTGGAGGGCTGCCCATGCCTCCGCCAGATGGGGGGGGTCAGGCTGGTCCACCTGGCCTCCTCCACCCGCAGAGAACCTCACCTCATTGGTCAGGCAGGGCACTGGGCGCCCCATCACGGGAGGGCTGCGGCTAATCGCCTTGACCTCCCGTGGCCTTGGGCTGGTGGCGCCACACCCCTTCCCCCCTTCACTACTCGGCTGCCCTGGGTGGCCGGGTGCCCACCACCTCCCACCAATGCTAGCGCCCGCTGTGTCCTGCTACAGTGGGCTTTCTTCCTAGTTCACTAATATGGATACTCTAGACAATGTAATAAAATGAGACCACTCCAGCTTACATGGTTAAACATTTCCTTTAAAATATTTAAAGACTCACTACAAACACACATCCCATAGCTTGCATCCAGGTGCAGTGTTTCTGAGGGCAGAAGTATTTTTGTTTATGGAGTACAACTTTCTCACTTGCCACTGTACCCTGAACCCTGAACCCTCCCCCCCAATGCTGCTCCTGGGGGGGATCCCGTCTCCCAGGAGCAGCATTTCAGGCTACAGCACGAATTGGAGAGGAGAAAATCACACTCTATAAGTAGAAATCATTCTACCCACAGACACATTATGC